GATTGGGACCTCACATACAGGTCCCGTACAGCGATCGATGTGCGCACAGTCCAAAATGGCGGGCGCCGTTTATGAACGGCAACCTGCCCCTGCACTGCTCCCATCTGGCCATTTATATGCATGGGCCGGATGGGAATTGGTTAAACATGTCCAGTAAAAAAATTAAAAAAATCAAATTTCATCATAAATTTAATGTATTCTGCGATATGTCTTTACTAAAAAAAATCCAAATACATGTAAATTAATTAGTTTACATAAAATTTATAGCGATTACAAATGGCGGTATAGATACTGGAATATTTTTTTATTTTTTTTTACTAGTAATGGCGGCAATCAGTGACTTATAACAAGACTGCGGCGGGCATTATGACACTGGGGGGAAATGACTGGGGGAAATTGGTGTCACTGACATGCAATGTCTCTTCTGCAATAATATGCAGCTACCGGTCTGCTTGCAGTCTTCTGGAGCTTATCAACTGAACCGCTGAATCACAGCTCAGCTTACATCGCCAGTCCCTGTGTGTGGGGGATGAATGCAATGGAAAAACAGAATGGTGGAAACAGCAATGTGGTGGAGGAAATCCTTTATTGGAATCTTTTACATGCAATATGATAAGAACATGACAGGTCCAAGACAGGACAGAGGAGCAGTAGACGCGTTTCACACAAACACGTGCTTAGTCATTACTGATTTTCACTATAAGCATCATCTCTATTAATGCTTTCTGTTTTACGCTTGTATTCACCCATAAACTTGCCCTTAAAGTGATTCTAAAGGCTAATTTTTTTTTTTAAATAACAAACTTGACTATACTTACCTTCTGTGTGCAGTGGTTTTGCACAGAGCAGTCCATATCCTCCTCTTCTTGGGTCCCCTGCCAGCGCTCCTGGCCCCTCCCTCCTGTTAGGTGCCCCTACAGCAAGCAGCAAGCATGTGTGCCCATTCACACATGGAGCCGCGGCTCATCCCTGCCCCCTCTCTCTTTTCATTGGCTCACTGGCTGTGATTGACAACAGCGGGAGCCAATGGTTCCTGCTGCTGTCTCAGTCAATGAGGAGAGGGAGTCCCGGGATAGCTGAGACTCCAATGCACGTCGTTGGATCGAGAGGGTGCTTAGGTGAGTTTTGGGAGGGCTGCTGCACAGACAAGGTTTTCTATGCAGGAAGGTAAAAGGCCTTGAGCCTTTACAACCACTTTAACATATTCCAATGTCAGTTCATCATCTGGGCGTGCATCAAGTGCTTTGACAAGCGTTGCACAACTTTCTGATAAACCACTATGTAACAGTATTTTACATGAAGATCTTCTATTTCTACTCCTATACCTCTCAGATGTTCAACCATTTCCAGGGTGTGCCTTATGTAATCCTACATATTCTGGTCTTTCATCAGCTTGGTTTGAAATAGCTTCCAAATACAGTTTATTGCTGAGATCAGCTTTCATGTACCTTTTGTAATTCTTCCCACATTTCTTTAGCAGTTTCACACTTACATATATGTATGATTTGATTATCTTCTATACTAAGAGAGATTGTGCACTGAGCTTTCTGATGTTTCTCTATCCACTCATCTGAAGGGTGTTCTGGCCTGACTTCATTTATACACTTCCACGTCCCTTCTCTTATTTGCAGTATTTTCATCTTGAATTTCCATGACTGGTAGTTCTGATTTGTCCGATTGGCAAATTAAAGCTTTGTTGCAGCTGTGTTACTGGCCATTGTTTTTCAGCCTTCTTTCTGTTGCTGTATTTTGCACTTTTTGTGCTGTAGCAGGCTATGACTGGGTGTCTGGGCCCATAACCTGTTAGAAATTCTGTATATAGCCCTACAGAACAGACAGTGCACAATTTACATGTGTTTATTTGCTGCTTCTCTGATAACAGGAAACAGAAACTTTATTTAAGAAGAAGACATAGAGTTTAAAGTGTTACTAAACCCACAACAGTAAAATCAGTCTGTATATGCAGTAAAGCATGCTTGTTATACTCACTGTAGAACCTAAGGGGTTAATCCTCTGCATTGTGTAAAAAGGCTGTTTGATCCTTTCTTCTCTGCCCCTCCTCTTGTTGAAATGACCACCTTATACAGACTGAATCGATGGTCACATATTCACATGCTCAGTTTGGTGTGTATCGCTAGAGAGTTTTTTTTTTCTTGTGAGAGTGCATGTGATCAGCACAGGGCCAATCAGCACTGTCCAGACAGAGGACCAGAGGTTTCACATCCTCCTAGAGCAGAAAGAAAACTCCTCCTATAAGCTTTAACCAGTGCTCTGCTGAAGTCACAAAACTGCTCTAACTGCTCATGAGAAAACGTACTTAGCATTTTATATTTAAAATAATTGCATTTCCATGTCCTGTGTACTGTGGGTGACCAGATATAGTGAATGCAGGGTCCTGGGAGACCAGATATAGTGAATGCAGGGTCCTGGGTGACCAGATATAGTGAATGCAGGGTCCTGGGTGACCAGATATAGTGAATGCAGGGTCTGGGGTTTAGTAACACTTTAACCATTTGCCAAGCGCGCTATAGCCGAATGACTGCTACAGCGCTGTTGTCCAGTTTTAGGAGGGTGTCATATGACGTCCTCCTAGAACCCTCCCACGCACCCCCAGGGGCATGCACCTGGCGATCTCCATGACACAGCTGATCACGTGCTGTAGTAAAATGCCAATGACAGCGGCCTTTTAGCACGTGATTAGCTGTGTCCAATGACACAGAAGATCACCAGTAAATTCAGTTGCCGGTTATCGGCTGCACTTTCCTCACACTGTCACAGCGTGAACAGAGTACTGCTGATAACTGTCAATTGTCAGAGGACAGATCGACACTGATCATCAGAGCACTCCCGGCACTGATAATCAGTGCCCAGCAGTGCCACCCACCAGTGCCCAGCAGTGCCACCCACCTGTGTCCAGCATTGTCACTCACCAGTGCCCCCCATCAGTGCCCCCATCATGATGCCCAGCAGTGCCACCCATCAGTGCCCAGCTGTGCCGCCAGTCAGTGTCATCAATCAGTGCCCATCAGTGCTGCCCATCAGTGCCGCCTATCCATGCCCATCAGTGCTCATCATTGTTGCATATCAGTGGAGCATTATTAGTGCCGCCTCATCAGTGCCAGCTCATCAGTGCTGCCTATCAGTGCCCATCAGTGCTGCCTATTCATGCCCATCAGTGCTGCCTATCAGTGCAGCCTAATCAACGCACATCAGTGAAGGAGAAAAATTACCTGTTTGTAAAATTTTATAATAGGAACAAAGAAAAACTTTTTTTTTCAAATTTTTTGCTCTTTTGTTATTTATAGCGCAAAAAATAAAATGCCCAGCGGCGATTAAATACCACCAAAAGAAAGCTCTATTTGTGTGAAAAGAATTATAAAAATTTCAATTGTCATTCAAAGTGCAACAGCACTGAAAATTGGCCTGGGCAGGAAGGGGGTGAAAGTGCTCCTAGGCAAGTGGTTATTAATCATAGATGCAGCTATAAACACTGCCATCTACTGGTTGAAGAATATATCTCTACTGAACACTGAAGTAGTTTTTGCACAAAAAATATATGAACAATGTATTCCAACATAGGGAAAAACCTGGAACTGGATTTTAACCACAAAATAAATAAAGCAGTACAAAATAAACTGCAAATGGATTAGCAGCATACTTTGTATAATCCCCCCGCTGTGTCTTTTACTGTGCCATATCATCATCAATGTAGAAGTTGATGTACGGTTGTAATTATGCAGAGACAAAGGCACTGCCAGCAGGGAGAATATTATCAGAGAATAACTGACACTAGCAACAGAGATCAATATGAACATTCACAGCTGAAGAAAGTGCAATGACCCAGTGAGAGTGACAAACAGATCCACTTAGGAAATGGGTGACAGATCCTGGCTGTCTGACCCCCTGGATTAGTGACAGGCTAGACAGATAATCTCAGCATAATCACATGAAAGCTGGAAAGTCAGAGACACGGGAGAGTGATGCACGTGCCAAGGAGAAGTCATGGGTTGGAGGGTGGCACAGAGAAAGTAAAGACACAGAAAGATTATAGAGGCCAGACATCAATGTTATATTTATGTCCGTCTTCAATAAAAGAATGAAAAAATGCAGCCTGCTGCTAATAACGGGGGGGGTGCTTGATATTAGTTATTGCTGAGGACTACAGAAACCCATCCCTCTATGTTATGGAGATGAGGGAGAGGTTTCTGTAGTCTTGTCCTAAGATACAATGCCGTTTCTCCATCTCTGGCACATACAATATACCATCTTTACACGTATGAGTGTGAGTAATATTTTGGTGGCACAGAAACCTCCTAGCAGTATTTATAGACAAGTGCAGATGGTGTGTAGGCAGCCGTGACACTTGCTATTTTAATAAATAAAGGGCTGATTCAATCTGAGCAGTCTGCTAATATTCTGATATTAAGCAGGTCGGCGGGCAAATATCAAAATAGAGTGTGGGCCTCAACAGGAAAGAACACCATCTATCCAGTGTACTTAATAGCAAGAATTCTGATGAAGACTGAGACGGAACAAACCATTTGTTTGAAAACTCTTTTTCCATTTAAAAATGGGTCAAAATCTTTACCAAGTAATTATAGACCAGTTAGTTTAACTTCTATAGTTGGGAAGATATTGGAGAGTTTAATAAAAGACCACATAGATGAGTTCTTGCTGGAAAAAATATTTTAAGCAACAGACAGCATGGATTCATGAAAAACAGAAGTTGTCAACAAATCTGATTTCTTTTTATGAGGAGGTGAGCAAAACATTGGACAGAGGGTGGCGGTGGACGTGGTATACTTGGACAGAGGGGTGGTGGTGGACATGGTATACTTGGACAGAGGGGTGGCGGTGGACGGGTGGACAGTGGTGGACGTATACTTGGACAGAGGGGTGGCGGTGGACGCGGTATACTTGGACAGAGGGGTGGCGGTGGACGTGGTATACTTGGACAGAGAGGTGGCGGTGGACGTGGTATACTTGGACAGAGGGGTGGCGGTGGATGTGGTATACTTGGACAGAGGGGTGGTGGTAGACGTGGTATACTTGGACAGAGGGGTGGCGGTGGACGTGGTATACTTGGACAGAGAGGTGGCGGTGGACGTGGTTTACTTGGACAGAGGGGTGGCGGTGGATGTGGTATACTTGGACAGAGGGGTGGTTGTAGACGTGGTATACTTGGACAGAGAGGTGGCGGTGGACTGGTTTACTTGGACAGAGAGGTGGCGATGGACGTGGTATACTTGGACAGAGGGTGGCGGTGGATGTGGTATACTTGGACAGAGGGGTGGTGGTGGATGTGGTATACTTGGACAGAGGGGTGTACGTGGTATACTTGGACAGAGGGTTGGCGGTGGACGTGGTATACTTGGATAGAGGGGTGGCGGTGGGGGCGTGGTATACTTAGATTTTGTAAAAGCATTTGACACAGTTCCCCACACACGCTAATGTGTAAGGTAAAGTCTACAGACTTGGAAAATTCTATATGTAAATGGACAGAAAACTGGCTAAACGATGGTATTCAGAGAGTAGTGGTTAATGATTCATACTCTGAATGGTCTAGGGTCGTCAGTGGTGTACCCCAAGGTTCAGTGTTGGGACCCTTACTTTTTAATATATTTATAACCGTTATAGGGTCTGGGAATAAAAATCCCATTTCAGTCTTTGCAGATGACACCAAGCTGTGCAGCGGAATAACGTCCTTACAGGATGTCTCCAACTTACAAGCCGACCTCAATGTTCTGTGTAATTGGGGGCAACTATGTGACAAATGAGGTTTAATGTTGATAAATGTAAGGTTATGCACTTGGGGGCTAAGAATATGCATCCATCATACATACTAGGGGGGGTACAACTGGGGGAATCAATGGTGGAGAAGGATCTGGGGGTTCTGGTAGATCACAAGCTTAATAATGGCATGCAATGCCAAGCTTCGGTTTCTAAAGCGAGCAAAATCCTCTCTTGTATTAAAAGAGGTATAGACTCCAGAGAGAGATATCATATTACCCCGGTACAAATCATTAGTAAGACCTCATCTGGAATATGCAGTTCAGTTTTGGGCACCAATTCACAAAAAGAACATTGGGGAACAGGAGAAAGTACAGAGAAGGGCAACCAAACTGATAAGAGGCATGGAGGAGCTCAGCTATGAAGAAAGATTAGAGGAACTAAATTTATTCTCTCTTGAGAAGAGGAGATTAAGGGGGGATATGATCACCATGTATAAATACATCAGTGGTTCATATAGTGAACTCGGTGTAGAGCTATTCACCCTGAGGTCATCATAGAGGACAAGGGGGCACTCTTTACATCTGGAGGAAAGAAATGTAATCTCCAAACACAGAAAGGTTTCTTCACAGTGAAAGCTGTGAAAATGTGAAATAGACTCCCTCAAGAGTTGGTTCTGGCCAGCTCAGTGGATTGCTTCAAAAAAGGTCTGGATTCTTTCCTAGATACACAGAATATAACTGGATACTAACATTTATAGGTAAAGTTGATCCAGGGAATATCCGATTGCCTCTCGGGGATCAGGAAGGAATTTTTTCCCTGCAGGAGCAAATTGGATCATGCTTTGCTGTTTTTTTTTGCCTTCCTCTGGATCAACTGTGGGTGTAGGATTATAACTTTTTCTTTTTTAATGGTTGAACTAGATGGACTTTTGTCTTTTTTCAGCCAGACTAACTATGTAACTATGTAACACTGGATAGAGCTCAGCAATGATTAAAAATTAAAATGTTTTCTGGATGAACCAGTCATCATAAATTGCCCATTCTATTGTTTGTGATTGGGAAATCAACAGGTCTATTTGTACCCAAAGGAGCATGGCGAGATGGAATAAGTGCAAGAGTGTCTAGGATTTTGTGCACAGTAGAAGTGAGCATATCCACATTGGCAAGCGTATAGCATGAAGCTGCACCTTCAGGTGTATAGGAGTCCAGGGGTGAGAAATCCTTTTCTTACCCCCAGAAAAGCAAAAATCCCTTTGGAGAAAGACAAAGGAATAGTAAATATGTACTTCTGGGGAGGGCGGCCTTAAAGTAAACCTGTTGGCCCTTTTCTCTGTGTGGGTAAAGTTGATCCAGGGAATATCCGATTGCCTTTCGGGGGATCAGGAAGGAATTTTTTCCCTGTAGGAGCAAATTGGATCATGCTTTGCTGGTTTTTTTTTGCCTTCCTCAGGATCAACTGTGGGTATAGTATTATAATTTTTTTTTTTTAATGGTTGAACTGGATGGACTTTTGTCTTTTTTTCAGCCAGACTAACTATGTAAAGCACAGGCTGTAAACTGATCCCTTGAGAACATCTTCTGTATGATGAAGTGCATTGGAGAGAGGTTAATCATGCTCCAGAACCCACAGAGGGTCCATTTTGTTTGATTGCTTTTTTAATTTTTTTATATTATTCTGGGTACTGAGTTCCAAGGTCTTCCGCTGAGTTATGGATGAAATTGCTGCGAATCTTCTTCAATGTGAATAAACACTATTAGACCTATAATTTGGGGTCTACACTTTGGGTAAGAGGCTGGTGTTTATGTGGTGGAGGAATTGCAGCACAAAAGAATTTGTTTGCTGCACATAGAGTGGTGTTTTGCATAATTAATTTATGAACTTTATTTATCATTTTACACACAAACCTTTGTGAGGGTGGATTTTATTTATTTGCATATTTCGTACATTTGATTTCTCTGTCATGCTTATCAATGTGAATAACTATGTGAATTAGTTTTGAGAAGTTTTGCACGATCATTTACCATGTGATTTGGTTTTGAGAAGTTTTTTTTTTGTACGACTGTTTCTAGTGGCACGACATGTTTTAGCTGTTTGGGAACAATGCCACACTGAGACCACAAAACAGCCCTGGCACATACAGTATCCCAGCTCACAATTGTAAGTGTGAGCAAAATTTTAGTGGCACAGAAACTTCAGCAGTATTTAGACAAGTGCAGATGGTGTGTAGGCAGCCGCGTATCTTGCTACTTTATTAAAATCAGGCAGAATTAATCTGAGTAGCCTTAGTGCATATGCCAGCTTTCTAATAATCAGATATCAAGCAAATATCTAAATAGATAATGTGGGCCTTTTACAGGAAAGAATCTACCCAATGTTCTTACTAACAATAACTAATTTACAATCGCAAGAGAAATTCGTTTTTTTCTGTCTGCAACAACCATTCTTTTCCAATCTCCCTGGAAAAAAAAAATCAGTGAGGCTTATTCAGAACCACCTGGAAGAAAAATATATTTGAAATATATTTTAAAAATATTCTTCCAAAATATATTGCCATATATTTGAAATTGTACAATATTGGCCATATTCAATATATTTCAAAATATATTTCAATAATCATATATATGTACTGCATGTTGAAATACATTTTTATTACCAAATATGTAAAAATATTTGTTAAAATTACTTTTTTATATGTTAAAAAAATCTTAAGAATATATTTTTAAAAATATATTCTTCAGATTTTTGTTAACATATAAAAAAAGTCATTTTAACATATATTTTTACATATACTTGTAAATGCATTCCAAAAATGTAGATTTGTATTTTTAAAGACATACAGTATATTTGAAATGTATTTTGAAAAATATTTTTTTCATATATTTTGTAATAAAAATGTATTTCAACATGCAGTGTATATATACAGTATATATATATATATATATATATATATATATATAAATAAAATTATTAAAATATATTTTGAAATATAATGAATATGGCCAAAATTGTAGTATTTCAAATATATGGCAATATATTTGGGAAGAATATTTTAAAAATATATTTCAAATATATTTTTCTTCCATATGGGGAGGGGTAGCAGCCCTTGCCACTTCTCTGAAAAAGCAGTTCCTGGTATATTGCTTTTCAGAGGGGAGTTGACAGGCAGCTGAGAGGCAATATGTTGCCTCCCCACCACCTATTGGAGTGTCTGTATGTTCTTTGTTAGGTGGCAATCAGGGTATTTGGCCATTCTAAGAAGAAAAGCTGAATGGATCTGTAAAGAGATAGTTGCTGAACCTGGATTAAAGACCTAATGAGCCACATGGTGGTGGAGACAGATATGCAACACAACAGACATAGTTACATAGTTAGTCTGGCTGAAAAAAGACAAAAGTTCATCCAGTTCAACCATTAAAACAGAAAAAGTTATAATCCTATACCCACAGTTGATCCAGAGGAAAGCAAAAAAAAAAGAAGCAAAGCATGATCCAATTTTCTCCTGCAGGGAAACAAATTCCCTCCTGATCCCCCGAGAGCCAATCAGATGTTCCCTGGATCAACTTTATCTATAAATGTTGGTAACTAGTTTTATTCTGTGCATCCATGAAAGAATCAAGACTTGTCTCCATTTACAGAGTGTATAGAAAAGAATCACCTCCCTATAAAATAATCACATTTTGTTGCTTTGCAGCCTGAAATGAAGACAGACACAGTTTTTGTTTTATCCAGCTGTATCTACTCAGTGCAACCTATAACATCCAAGTTAAAGACATACCAACATGTCAGGAAAAAAAAACCCCAGAATCACTAAGTTAGAAAAAGGATCACCCCCTTGTGTCAGCATTTTATTGAACCATCTTTTGCTTTTCGTACAGCCTTTAGTCTGTTGGGATAGGTCTCTACTAACTTTGAACATCTAGACTTTGCATTAGTTGCCCGCTCTTCTTCTTTGCAGAATGGCCCAAGTTTAGTTATATTTGGTGGTGACTGCAGTCTTCAAGTCATTCCTCAACCATTTGCCTCCTGAGCACTTCTACCCCCTTCTCGCCCAGGCCAATTTTCAGCTTTCAGCGCTGTCACACTTTGAATGACAATTGCGCGGTCATGCAACACTGTACCCATATGAAATTTGTATACATTTTTTCACATAAATAGAACTTTCTTTTTGTGGTATATAATCGCGGCTGGGCATTTTATTTTTTGCGCTATGAACAAAAAAAAGCAAAAAATTAAAAAAAAAGTTTTTCTTTGTTTCTATTATAAAATTTTGCAAACATGTAATTTTTCTCCTTCGCTGATGTGTTTTGATGAAGCTGCATTGATAGGCAGCACTGATAAGCACTGATGAGGTGGCACGGATAGGCAGCACTGATAATTGGCATTGATAGGCAGCACTGATGATATTGTACTGATAGGCGGCACTGCTGCGCGGCACTGATGGGCACAGGTGGGTGGCACTGCAGGTCAGTGGCACTGCAGGTCACAGGTGGGTGGCACTGATGGGTATGGGTGGGTGGCACTGCAGGGCTCTGGTGGATGGCACTGATGGGCACAGGTGGGTATCACTGCTGGGCATAGGTGGGCGGCATTAATGGGCACAGGTGGGTGAAACAGGTAGGCGGCACTGCTGGGCACTGATCATCAGTGCCCTGATGATCAGTGCTGATCCCTTTGCTGA